TTTGCCTTTTTTTGACCTGTCTCCACATTTTACAGTTTATTGCTGAATTTTGAGATCAGGTTTTGATAAATTTTTTCTTTTTCATTTTCTTTTTCTTTTTTTTCTTTTTTTTTTTTTAAAGAACTGTAGTTATGTTTCATTATTGGTATTGTGCAACCGATCTGAACAGCTCTTTCTTAATTTAGAGCTGAAAATGCCCAGTGATGTTTTCTTTTTCATTGTAACTAGGTCCTGGAATATGTTTTGAAATGGCAAAATCCATGTTTCAAAGTAAAATAGCTGTTGAAAGATACAGGCAAAGTTGAATCTTCTGTCTTCCTGGCAAAAATGGCATAAAAACTGAGTTGCTAGCTCAAATTCCTGGGTTTCATGGAATTATGATTGAGGCACTACCCTTGTAGTGGCCGTTTCAAGTTTTAATGATTGGTTATGAGACATGTGCTGGATATTGGGCGGTAAGTTGACAAAGATGTATGTTGACCTGTTAAGCAGATAGCTTGCTTAGTAATGTAACATTTCATGACTTTATACGTCTTTCTATTTTACGTTTACAGCGTATCTTGAATGGTTTAAAAACTAGTATTGATAATACTAATTTTAAAATTTAAGAGAAGGACAAGAGAATAATAGAGAATGTGCTGTCAGGTTTGCCAAGATGCCAGATTTTTGGAGTAATTAGTGTTAATTGATTTGAAAAGTATTTTTTTCAATTGAAATGGTAGTATTCAGTTTTTTCTTAAATCCAGTTTTTGTTGTCAGTATAGTTCTTGATGAAGTAATTGTATTCACTAAAACCAACTGTGTAGTTATTTCAGTATTTTTTGCAAATGATTACTTGAAGTAACTTCCCTGGTTCATATTGGCAAGGTATAAGGACATTCACATATTATTCCTTTTGTTCTGTTTGAGGAAGTATTACATGATTCAAATCAAGTTAGAGATTCTCAATTTAGTCTATTTATTGTTCTTGGAATTTATGCAGCGTTGACAGGGTTCTCTGACGAACTTTGTATCAGTTACTTGTTGAGGTAGATGAAGTTAAAAGGGACAGAGTAGGAGCTCTTTGTAACACTTGATTCTCTTCTGCTAGGTTTCTTGAGTATTTTTATTTTCTTTTCACCTGCTACATGCCCTTCTGTCACAAATGAAAATCTCTCTTGAAGTAAAGATAACTAATTGGGCAGTATTTCTCCTAAATCAACAGAGCAATACTTCAAATCAGCTGCAGTGACTCTAAACGAGAGGTTCACTTCGTATCAGAAAGCCACTGAAGAACATAGTGCCAGGCAAAAGAGCCCTGAGATACACAGGTATGTGCACTATTGAATGGACGTATAAAAATACTGTTTTGATAGGAAGACACCATTTCTTTTGTTTGTTTGTTTTTTTGGGAAGATACTGATCATATTGGAACTATGCTAGTGTCATCATGATACAAGATGAACTTTGGTATTATTTTTTATTTATACCTTGAATAAGTATATTTCCAGCCTTGAGAAGTTTATAATTTACTGTTTCTTTTCAGTTTTTATTTTATTTGTTTAAACAGGTTCCTAGAACTTAAAATACTATCAACCACTCCTCAGTAAGGAATTAAATAGCTAACACATTTGTTTTTTGGGAGGGAGTTGGATGCCTAGAGTAACCCTTTATTTAATCTCTGACCATTAGTTTTTTCCATCTACCACATAAGGACAACAGTGCCTCTTTTGCAGGGTGGTGGTGACAATTAGTATTGGTCATAAAGTATCTGAGTTCTTAGTAAATAGTAGGTAGGGTTTTGGTGGTGACCGCTGAAGAAATGCTGAGAAGTTGCAGTTGACACTAGCTTTTAAAAGGCAAGGAAAGGCAGGGATAACACCAAAGATCCACTGAATATGTAAAACTATTGGAGATACTTAAGAACAAATAACCATATTCATGTGTGTATTAAAGATATGGAAGTATAAAATTGTATGATGGTTGCCACTTAACATAACATTCAATTTAATCAAAACACGTTTTTTTTGATTAAAATAAATTTGTTTTAAAAAGTTAAACTTCTTTATATATAAAAATATCTGAAGCATTTTAATTCACCTTTAATGGATGTAGTCTTCTTAATTGTCTACCAGGAATTAGATTAACAATCTTATGCTAAAGTTGATTGGGAGAGAAATAACTGGACATTATAAAAATGGACAGTTCTGAGGAATTTTTGGAACAATAGTTACTGTGACTACAAATATTTTATTTTACATTAAGGAGAATTGACATCTCTCCAAGTGCCCTGAGGAAGCATACTCGTTTAGCAGGAGAAGAGAGAGTTTTTAAAGAAGAAAATCAAAAGGTATGTTTTGAATGGACTTCTTTTTACTGTTAAGTTGGGCTTAGTTAATGATATATGCTAAGTATAGTTTGTGTAGACAAAGTATTTGCAGAGGTTCTCTATTTTTAACTTGTAAGTATATGAATATAAGGTAGTGTATATAGCGCTCCTTTATAAAAGAAATTAAGCTATGTATCTTAGTTAAACCAACTTTTTAAAATGCTAATGAAAGTAAGAAAGTTCTAAGTAGACAAAGGAAAATTACAAAAGCAAAGATAAGAATTATAGTAGGGTTTCTATATAAAGTTTTGAGGTGAAATAGATTAGCCAGAGTAAGTATTCCTGATTTATATATGCCTAAATTAATATCTCTAGGTTTTTCACAGTGAGAACAAGAAGTAACCCCCATGCTACTGGGCATTTTTGGTCTGGACTATGAAATAAGTGTTCTGAGAAGCAATTTACAAGTGAACAGTTGGAACAGAAACTGTCAGGATTGAATTCTGTGGGTTGGGGAAGGAAGGTTTTCAATGTGAGAAAACCTGTGAATGGCGGGGGAGGGAGGTCTGTGAGAATGGAATGTGTTTGTTAAGGGGACTCTGATACATGCTGATGATTTGAAACTGACATTTTCTAGGTAGACTAGTCCATAGGACAAGTCATATGGGTCTAGTAGAAATGTGGGGACAGGTAGAAAGGGAGCAACTGTCTGTTGTAATGAAAAGGGCAGGGGACTTGGAAATGCTGCTTGGTTCCACTTTTGGCTATAACCAGGTATTATCTGTATGATGCTTGGAAAATAATTAGTCTCTTGGACATTGGTTTTGTAATCGGAAAAATGAGACTACATGTGTTTGCAGAGTTGAATAGTTGAGGTATTATGAAAACGTTGGCACTTTACTACCGGAAGCTGTTATTAATGGTTGTATTTTACAAATATTTTAATAGGGCATGCTATTAATTTACTAAATGAGAAATTTAGAGCTTAAAAGAAAGTGGTTTCTTTGTGTGGGCATACTGATCTTGGAAAAACAGATTCTGAGAAGTGAATACTAATCTTGGCTTTTCCTTTCAATATCTTGGGTTCAATGTTGGTTTATTTTTGCCAACAATTTAGTCTATCCTTGTGCTCTGACAGAGTGAGTATCTTGTTTCTTTCCTCATTACTCAGACCATGTTTTCATCTAGAGGAGAGAAAATAGTGATTACTTATGATAGATAGGGGAGGATATGACATTGCTTTTTATCCTTCGTCTTCTGATCTGAATGAATAATATGTGTTATTATTTAACGTATGTATAGTTTTGTTGGAGTTTACAAAGTAGTTTTACTTAAATTATCTTGTTACTTGTGGGCTTGGTAATACCTCGGTGAGTAAGGAAGGTTTTTACTCTTGATTAGTCTTTTTTTTTTTTTTTTTTTAAATTACCCAGGGAGCAAATAGGTGAGTAGTTGATACCATTTGGAGATATATTTATACTTTTTTTTGATGAACGGTTATATTATAGCTAGATTTCCCAGAGTAAGTACTTCTTATTGTTGAATACTAGCAAGGATGTCCACATTGCTTAGCATCTTACTGATGTATAATTTTTCTTCATTCCTAGATGCCTCTTTCCATCTTCCTAAATTATATAGTATTTGAAAAAGCAATGGAACAAGAAGGAGGTGAATTGTGACCCAGTTAAACTAATGTCCGTTGCAATACCTGAATTGAGAAAGGGCAGTATATGGCCCAAAATACTGAGTACAGGATTGGGAATAATATCTTTCTGGCTTTGTTTCTACCCTTATTCAACCTTACTTGGTTTTGTTAATCATCTTCCACTTGCATGTTATGGAAATTACAGAATTCTTCCTTTTGAAGTGGTTTTTATTGGGTTCGTCAACCTAATTGGGAACAGCTTGATGATAAAATGAGGCTTCAGTAATGAGAACCATTACTTTAGGATCCCTTAACTTTATAGGTAGATGGCTATACTACAACCACAGTTAGACTGTAACTTCTGTCATTGTTGAACTGTTTACAAAAAAGCTGTTTGAAAAGGATGAGTGATGACAATGAGGATGTGCTGAGTGGAAAAACAATTATTTTGTTCTGTTGTACAAAGTTTATTATGGATTGCTTTGAACAAAAACCTATGCTATTTTCAAGATAGTTAGCTTTTCATAACTTCCGAGTTTCATAGTCCCGTTGCACTGTGTATACAAATGTTGAGTCAAAACAACCAAGTGTTTTTTTTAACAAAAGTAAAACTAAGTATGGAAGTAGTATGCTATGATCCACTCATTTCTGATACTAAAATGCCAGATTAAAAACTGGCATAAAATTTGGGTATATATCTTTATATCTTTATTTTTTTTCTCTCCTGAAGTCTGTATTTTACATTTGTCTTTTATAGGGAGATAAAAAATTAAGGTGTGATTCTGCTGATCTTCGGCATGACATTGATCGTCGGAGGAAAGAAAGAAGTAAAGAACGGGGGGATTCCAAGGGCTCCAGGGAATCCAGTGGATCAAGAAAGCAGGAAAAAACTCCAAAAGATTACAAGGAATACAAATCTTACAAAGATGACAGGTAATTGTTAAAACTGTCTGAGTTAGGTTTTAGCTTCTAATTAGCCTTTAATAATTGTCAGCTTAATTGCTTTCAATTTTGACTGTGTAATCGAATGTTTAAATTTAAACAATTAAAATTATTTGTTTTACAGCAAAAATGTATTTGTCTTTTACACGGCTTATGGTGGATGAGGACAAAAACTTTGGAATAGCAAGCTAACACTGAAAAAAAAAATGACAAATTAATGTGTCCTATTATCCAGGCTACATCAGGAGGTTGGACTTCAATGCAGTGCATTTCTAGAAACAGTTTGTGTAAGAACTTTGGTTCGTTATGCTTGATTCCGCACTTTTTCAACTCATAACACCCAGAGTACAAGAATTTTAAACTGATATCTAGTGGTTTAACATGGGAGAGATGGGGGGGAGGAAGGACTAGTTTTTATGAAATAGCAATGTGTATTAATCTTTCAAAGTAATGTTTCCATGGATACTGTTAGCAGTGGTAAGAGTTACCGCAGGTATGACCTTTCCGGGTGTTGTGTTAGAACCATGTAAAATTGATCATCGTAGAGTCAAATAAATAATAGGAATATTAAGTATCATAGATAATCGTTTTCTTGCTATTCATTAGGTAAATGGTGGATTTTACTCGTGTTTTTTAATTTATTACCGGTATTTGTATGTCATATGCTTTTATTTCTCTAATGGAGTAATGGCCCAAACCATATCAACTGTTCTCACCCCGAGTGTACATACTGCAGTCATTTTGAAACTTGGCCTTAAAAACATTCTTACTTATTCCTACTCTTCTTTTCCTTTCCTTAAAATAACAACAACAACAAAAAGTTAAAAATACTGAAGAACTGAACCTTATTCTTGAAGTTTCCAGACTGCTAGTTTTTAACTGGCAGGCTATATCATGTTTTCAGTAGTTATGTAAAACAAATATTGAAGGAGAATGGAAACAGGCTGTATCAAAGTTTAACACCCAATCATTTTAGTTATGTAATCATTTTTAATAGGGGATAGTTTTTTTTTTTTTTTTACTTGAAAAATATCCCTTTTATTATAAGATTCAACAGGGTCTTTGTCTTTTTAAAAATAGCACATATTTTTTGTTTTCTCTATTTATTTTGCAGTAAACATAAAAGTAGAGAGCAAGATCATTCTCGATCTTCATCATCTTCAGCGTCACCTTCTTCTCCCAGTTCTCGGGAAGAAAAGGAGAGTAAGAAGGAAAGAGAAGACGAGTTTAAAACTCACCACGAACTGAAAGAATACTCAGGCTTTGGAGGAGTTAGCCGACCACGAGGAACCTTTGTAAGTAATAGAATTACCTTTGATTGTTGGTAGGGCTTTACTTTAGAGCACTGTACATAAAGTAAAATTCATGATTTAGACATTGTTGTGAGTCATTATTTCTGCAGTTAGAATTAGTCTTGGAAAGTGAAATTGTATTTGTATATATTGATTAAGATATGCCATTTAAGGGTTGGGAGGAAGGGCTGCAGCTGGGATGATGCTTTCTTTGTATACAGAGTAAAAAATGTTTCTGATTTTTAAAGAGCTGTATATATATATATATAATTATATATATATAACTAACTATACACACACACACATATACATATATCAATTAGATACTTTTTAAAATTTTGGAATCAATAACTGTACATGGTGCATGAAGACCCAAGAGTCAAGTAAAGTTACTGAGATCCAGTTCTTCAATCACTTAGTTTTGAATAGATATCTTAAAGCATTAAAAAAAAAACCCTAACGTCTGTATCACAGCTATTTTTATTTTGCCTGTTTTGCCTTCCAGTCCTTGTTTATATGTGTATAATCATAGAAATCATATAGCTTTTGTTTTTATTCTACATAGCATACACATTATCCCTATGTTTGCATAAATTTGTTACAATTATTAATTACAACTTCACAGTAGTGCATCTTCTTGACTCTTTAATTTCTATATTCAGATTCCTACCTCGAGTGAGTATCCAGTCAGTTATTAGTAGGGCTCATTAATTAGATCATTTGTGAAAGAGAAGAGCTTTGCTTATATGGTGATAGGTGATAGTTGAACAGTTGGGACTCCTATAATAATTCAAAGAATTAGACCACTCTTTTGGGTAGTAAAAGGGGAAAGAACCAACTTGATTATTTAAAAATACTAGTTCAGGCTATGAAATTGTAGTCAGTATGCTAATACTTAAATTGACTGCATTTCTTATTCAGCTTTCAGTGGGCAGATTTTTTTTGCCTATAGTATAAAATGGCCACCCTTTCTGTCCTCAGTGGCTGTGAAATTGAGATTTAGGAAGGAAAGTAGGGAATTTGTTTTTTGTTACTGCAGTAAAATTAGAGTTTGCATGTAACTAAATACCTTTTGATTGCATTACTAAACAGCTTTGTTAATGTTAATCAGTTTCGAATTAGAGGCAGAGGAAGAGCCAGAGGAGTTTTTGCTGGGACAAATACTGGTCCAAACAACTCAAATACTACTTTTCAAAAGAGACCGAAGGAAGAGGAATGGGATCCAGAATATACCCCAAAGAGCAAGAAGTACTTCTTGGTGGGTGTTAGAAATCTGTGTTTATTTGGTTTGCATTAATTTTCAAAGCATACTGGGTGAATACATTTGAGTACAGGTATCCACTACTATGAGGAGTTTTTGCCATAATTTAGGAAACCTTTTAAAAATTCACTACCCAGATGATTTGAAGTTTTGAAAATGTGGGTCCCTTTAGTCCTGTTTATATTTTATTGATGTCACCTATAGGCTGATCAGGGTAAACTAAAACTATACCTGATTTGATAGCCACATTCAGAGAACATTAACATAGGTTTCACCTCTGTCTATAAGACAATGACAGTTGTAGAAACATCTCATTAAGATTTATCTTCCATCATCACAGCTGTTTGTTTAAGTGAAAGACAGAAGAATTCTTTCACAGAACATGTAATTAAGGATCTCAGGGAGGCTGTGTACTTCCTCTGGAATAAAAGGAGGATGAAAAATTCCATATGGAAAGTTGCTGGCTACACTAATTTGATGCTTCTTTGTGATACTTTTTCCTCTGAAGTAGTTTTCTAAGGGGTGAAACTAGAGGAGGTGGGTCCTGAAAGAGTTTCTAGGTAAAGATGGAGATTTTCTGTAGTTTGGCATGGGAGAAAAGGGTCCATCCAGCATTACAGACACTTAGGAAAATACCAGAACTATTACCAGAAGTATTTATTTCTTAAATAGCTTTTCAGAGATCAGTTCTGAAGATTAGTTGTTTTGCAGAAGCAAGGAGGAAGATAGTACTAGATTTATAGAATTGTGTCTTTCATTTAGTTTTTTATGAATATATTTGAATACACCTGAATACCCATGACCTGTCTGCTAAGTGAGAGGGGAGAGCTAAATGATGAAGTAGACCTATGTTGTTTGAAGAATGGGCAATCAAAAATTAGCTTCTGTTTGATTCTTTTGAGTAGTTTAATGAACAAAGTCCGAAAAAGTTTTTAAAGGGTATTAATGCATACTGTTTGCTCAACATATGCTCCCCTAAGAGGAAATTTATACTTGTTTGAATTGCTTGAGTTGACAACGTGGACAGTAAAAGGCACTTTATTCAGTTATAGGAAAGTTTAAAAGGTCTATCTTGTTTTTGATTTTCAGACTTTATATTCACAAACTGCTCTTTATACTAGGTACCATGAATGCAAAGACATGTATCATTTCTTGGCTGGAAAAATTTAGAAACAAAAGTTCTAAATATATGTGTAGTGGATTTCATCCAAGGCAGGAAATGGAGGATTATTTCAAACAGTGATTAGGCGAGCCTTCATAGAGGAACTGGGATTGAATCTTGAGCTTAAAAAATAGGTATACTGCAGATTGTAGGCGTGAAACATCCTGAGATAGAACTCTTTGGCTAGGTGGTTGGTGTAAGTTTGGTAAAATTAAGAAAAAGCAGAAACCAAGTTGTGGGAGGCTGTATCTAAATAAATACGGATTTTAACCAGAGTTTAGAAAAATCATGGTTGTACAGACCGATCTGAGAGTTACTGAGTGTCTGGACTAAGAGGCTAGGTAATGGAAAAGTTAAAGTAATATTAATGAGGACTTACTCAGGGATCTTGTATGTAGTTGGGTATTGGTAGTAAGATGGAAGGGATCTCTCTAGGATAGAGAATACAAGGGAAAGGATCCCATTGGAGAAGATTAAGTTCTGTTCTTGAGGTGCCTGGGAGAAATTAAGTGCAGATGTGCAATGGAAAGTTGCTTATGCGAATCTAGAGGAAAAAAAATTTAGGAGCCATCATCTTCCAGGACACAATTAAAGCCCTGTTAAGATCACCCAGTCAGAAGAGATTAAAAGGCCACCCTGTTGAAGGTGGGGCGAGCAGTGGGTGAGTGATAGTAAAAATATCACACTGTTAAAAAAAAAAAAAAAAAAAGCCAGAGAAGTAGACCAAATGTTATAGGTCAAAAGATTAAGAGGGAAATGAGAGGTGGACAAGTAGATAGTAATTAATACTTTGAATCCTTTACAAATACTTAATTTAGGCCACACCTTCATTTTTCTATGGCATACTTTTAGAATCCGATGTTGTAATTTTTTCTTGTAATGGGACATACCATTTTAGTTTGGCATTTAGGTAGTAGTTTTACTAATTAAGAAGAATGTTATTTTAAGATTTTAGGAACTTAGAAGTAGTAAATAACATTTTATGTGTTGCTATTTTGGGCTGTATTTAAAAACCTTCATTTCTATATAAAACATACACTTGGATTTGTCACAGACTAATGTTCACCAGAAGTAACTTTTTTTTTTTTTAATGTTTTATTTATTTTTGAGACAGAGAGCATGAACAGGGGAGGGGCAGAAAGAGAGGGAGACACAGAATCTGAAACAGGCTCCAGGCTCTGAGCCGTCAGCACAGAGCCCGACGCGGGGCTTGAACTCACGGACCGTGAGATCATGACCTGAGCTGAAGTCGGACGCTTAACCGACTGAGCCACCCAGGCGCCCCAGAAGTAACATTTTTTTTAAGCTTTTAAATTTTATTTAATTTGAGAGAGTGCACGCATGCGCAGTGGGTGGGGGATGGAGGGACGGAGCAGAGGGTTAGAGAATCCCAAGCAGGCTCCTTGCTGTCAGCACAGAGCCCAGTGTGGGGCTCCGTCTTAAGCTGAAATCAAGAGGTGGATGCTTAACTGACTGAGCTGTCCAGGCACCCCCAAATTAATATGTTAATACATTTTTTTTTCTAACAAATCAATTCCCAGAGTTAATTATTTTAGTTCTTAATGAACCATTGAAATGACAGCTCTGGTTTTTACATGGATTTTTAAATTTGAAAGATTTTGCTTCTTTTGCAAATATATTTTATAGACCGCTATTGTTGAGACTAGAAATATAAACAAAAATATTCATAAGAAATGAGGTTGAAAACTTTTAGATGTTCTCCTAAGAATAATTGACGAACATGGAACTTTTGACTATATATATACACACACGTATATATAATATATATATATACGTGTGTGTATATATATGTATATACACACACACATATATATACACACATATATACATACAGACACACACATATATATTTTTTTAAGTTTATCATTTTGAGAGAGCAAGAGAGAGAGTGTATGCATGCATGCAAGCAGGGAAGGGGCAGAGAGGGTGAGACAAAAACCCAAGCAGGCTCAGCGCTGCCAGTACAGAGCCCAACATGGGACCAAACCCAGGAACTGCGAGATCAGGACCTGAGCCGGGATCAAAAGTCAGACGCTTAATGGACTGAGCTGCCCAGGCACCCTGCTTATGCCCATATTAATGAAACATTAATACTTACTAGTAATAATAATAGTATTTATTGAGCATATGCACTGTGCTAGGTTCCTGTTTTACATGTATAAATTTATTTTGTGCTTACAAAAAATCATTTCGAGGGGAGTCCTTTATTCTACTTTTATAGATGAAAAACATTGGGGTATACAGATTAAGCAGCTTGACCATGGCTAGTAGAATAGGACTTTGGATTTGAACCCATGCCTTGGGCTCCAGAACTAGGGTTCTGAAAGCACCCTACCGTTCTTTCTCCAATATTGAGTAATAGTAACATTTGTTGTATTCTTTTCTGAAAATTCTCATCTCAACACTTGGATTTATGCAAAGATATGGTGATGTTTTCAATAACAAGTAGGAAAGATAGTCTATCTTAGAACCTGAAATTCTGTGGAGGGGTGAGTATGTGAAGAGTTGGAGCAAGTAGGAAAGTACTGGAGTGGATAGGTTCTCAGTGTAGAGTTGATGTCTTCTGAGGAAGAGAAAATATCTGGTGGGGAAGGAGTTTCAGGGTAGGAGTTTTAATCAGTTAGCCCTTTGAAACATGATCATTCTGTGGAGAAGAGATAAGAGGATTCAGGAGGTTTTGTTCTAATATGGCCTCCTTTGTTAATGTGTTTTTGTGCATTACAAATAATTTCTCTGGTCCTTTATCATGTGAAGTGATTCATTTTAAAAAATTGTAGTAGGACTGATATCTTAGAAGTTAGAACTTGAAGATTAAGAGTTAGTTTGCTTAGCATTAAAATGTCCCCTAGCTGCCAGGATACTCTGAAAAATACAATCTTTTAGCTGCTGTTGGGTATTTAAAGGTGCTGGCTTGTTTAACTTTAGTGCCTAGCTTTGCCTCTGCTTTTTCTATTTCTGTAGCTGTTAGTTGCCTTATATGGAAATCATTTACTGCCACCAGATACTTGGGAAATGTATACTGTGGGTGATGGCTGAAGGAGTAGTGGAGAGAACTAGTTCTGTGACCTTGGGCAAGTAGCTCAGTTTTGCTGTGCCTCAGTTTCTTTAGGTCTAAAGTAGGATTAGTTAACAGTATTTTATAGAGTTGTTTGAGGATGAGAGGAGTAAATATGTGGAAAGTGCTCAGAACAATGTCTTACCCTTAGTAAGCATTATTAATACCACTCTTTGCTTGCTTGTCATACACTGGGATGGGCACTTTTTATAGATCATCTGTGTGACTTCATGGTTATCTCCCAGTTTTTAAAATGAGAACGTAAAGTCACAGCTTCTGTTTAGATTTAAACATGCCTCTGACTCTCAAAACCTGTTTGCTTCTTCCCACAAATAAGTGGAATACTGTGTAAATGCCACAAACACAAACTCTTAAGTGGTGGTTTGTGCCAATACCAAAAGGGAACCTGAAGTTACGTAGTTGTGTGGGTATCATTTTGAGTGAGAGAATATTTTAAAATACTTTATTTCAGGTTTGTAATTAAACTTTCTGACATTCTGAAATCTACACTTTTGATAGTTCCTCAACTCGCTCTTTTTGGAGTCATACACACCTCTAGCTTGTCATTTTTCATCAGCTTGTTAAAGATAGAGGATTAGAAATTGGTAAGTGCTCTTTTGCTTTGTGTGTTACTTGTGTAACTGAGCTTTGCAAGTCATGCCAGGAGGGTGATCTGTATTACACGAATATGCACAAAGGCACAGTCTGTGTTTTGAAAAAGGTGCTTATACCACATAATACTCGAGAAAAAGCTTTGATGACTTTTGGACAGCTGGTCAATACCAGTACTTCACAGGTTATGGAACATTGTTTGCATTATACCCAGTATCTTATTAAGGGGCATCATTTTGCCTCTTTCTCCATTTTTGTAGGTGACAGACTTGAGAGTTTGAGGTGGGCAACAATTAATTAAATTATATTACAGGTGAACTTTGGCTTTTTGTTTGGTATTTTGCGATAATACTCCTCTACTTATCCACAAAGTGAAGGGCTTTTCAGTTTGTAGATTGTGTTTGATTAATGGAACAATTTGCAATTTGGGGAATATCTGTATTGGGGTAGAGTTAATGAAAAATTAATGTTCAAATGTAATACAAAACTGTAGTACTATGTTGGTGAAGAAGAAATAAGTTATTACTCTAGGGACCATGCTGTCATGATTTAGCATGTGAAATTCTCTAGCCTAGAAGATTGATGTGCCATATACATTGATTTAGATTTAAATCTCTGTAGGATTTTAAAATCTGTTCCTACATGTATGGTATAATTCATATCGTTTATTTTATTTAATAAGTGTTGCATAACATTTTTGTGACTGTTACGTCTTTATGACTGGTAGTTTTGGGGGGAAATAAAGGTTATTTTATCTCATTTGCATGCAGTATATTAACAAGTGGACTTAGATTGAAATAATGGAAAGCAAAAAAGTCAAAACTATGAAAGTTGGCAGTAATTTAGCAGTTGAGGTTCTCCAAAAAATTGTCTGGACAGTTTGCAGTGCTTGGGTTATAAAGCAGTAAGATGTATTTACTTGATTTCACAATGGAATACATTTTTACTGTAAAATTCAGTGTTACTGGCTTTGGTTTAATGTGTTTTAGACATTTACCAATGTCCCATACCCCAGTCTTCAGAAGATATATACCATGACTTAATGGGGCTATAATCATTTTACTTACAAGAAAGACATTTTAGTGATGATTGTTTTTAACCTCTCTGTAGCATGATGACAGAGATGATGGTGTGGATTATTGGGCCAAAAGAGGAAGAGGTCGTGGTACTTTTCAACGTGGCAGAGGGCGCTTTAACTTCAAAAAATCAGGTAGCAGTCCAAAATGGACTCATGACAAATACCAAGGGGACGGGATTGTTGAAGATGAAGAAGAGACCATGGAAAATAATGAAGAAAAGAAGGACAGATGCAAAGAAGAAAAGGAATAGTAAATCTGAAGTGAGATTGCAACAGAGAGCAGAACTTGCACCCACCATTTTTTTACCTGATTTTTGTTTTCAAATAAGAATGTAAGCATTTTACTTAAATTTTACTGTTTGCAAGTAGTCAGTAGAAATTTTGTTTTAAGTCTTCAAATATCTTGAAAAATAGTAGACTGTATGTTGAAAATTGTACTGAAATAAAGTAGAAAATTGTTACGTACCATATTTGTAACTATCAACTTTTAAAAAAATACTTTTACTGTTTTTGTTACATGCATTGTAATTCGCTTTGTCTATAAGATATGGTCAAGTACAGCTCTGTGAAAGTTCTGATTCTCTTCCTTCCCTGTTTGTTAATGTTTATTCTGAAGTAAACGTTAGCTCTACATACAAATCCCTGGACAGAAGTTGTTTATAGAGACCACACTAATTATTTTAACTATATACATCTGTTTAATATTCTCCTTAATTCAAACACACTACATTGTAGGGTGACTAATTTTTGAGGTGTACCACAGAAAAGGTTCTTACTTTGGCAAACTAAGCTAATTTAACACGTCAGCAAATGTTTAAAAAGAGAAAAAAGCTTTATCAATAGTTAAAAAGTACAAGCTATTAAAAGATTGAAAATTACAAGAAAAAAAAATTTTTTTTTTAATTGAAAGCAAGCAGTGGCCTATAAAACCATTCTTAGGAGCCTTTACTTTTGCGGCTGAAAATTCAATGTTTTTTCTATTCTTATTTGAAAGTTTGAGTCATGGTCTTAGATATCAGCTAATCTTTGAGAGAGGAACTGGTCTGTAATAATACAGATGAAAAAATCCATTCTTACTGATCATCTTTAAGAAACAGAACAAAACCTGTAATCCTGGTGTTGGTATGGAAGAGGATTATCCTGCAGAATAAGTTGATACATTAAAAAGATGTACCTGATTTCATATCTTACATATTTATTTGAGCTTTTGGACAGCTGAAACATTAGTTTGTAGTCTAACCATAAGGAAAAATAGGCAAAAAAACCATTATGTTAATTAGTATTTTAAGTAACTTGTTTTTCAATAAAAAGTTTTGACAGGAAGTTTGTTGCAGCATTGGTCTAACTTGGTTTTTACTTTTTCCCTATTTTCAGTTGCAGTTTATAAAATGGCTTTTTCTTTTTCTTCCCAAGGGTTCTATTCTTCAGGTAGATAATCTTTCAGATGTGGATTATCTTTTTGTTTGTTGATGCTGATAGCTCTTAAGATGAAAACTCAAAATAGTAAATTTCACTGTCAAGTCTCTGTCAGTGACCATCTGTAAAAGTAGTCAAATTTCATTTGTTAATTCAGGAACCAAGTTAGTTGTATATGTTTGCATTAAAAGGAGGAAATGCTTGTTCTGTTAAGTGTAAACTTTTTCAAAGATCTTAATATATGGATCTTTCATCCTTCGTGATTTGCAGTGCTCCTAGCACCTTGATTGCAGCCAAAGGCATTTGCTAAGAACTGTAAGGGAAAAATAAGAAAACAAAATTCAATATACATGATGTTTATGGCCCTAGGACCCTTAGTATTGCATGATTTCTCCTATTAATTTTGTCTTTTCTGAAATCATTAGAGCAGAGGAAATACTGTCAAAGCAAGTTTGTTGTTATGTTAGTCAGGACACAGCTAATCTCCTAGTCAGAAGAATACTTAATTACATGCGAAAGCAACATGGATTTAATCTTCAACACAAGAATTTTCATAACCATTTTATTTTATACAAATAAACTTAGCTTTTATTTTAAGTTATTATTTGGTTAGATACTGGATCTCTGTGCATGACTATAAATGTGCAGTTTTGTTTTTCCACTTAAGACAATAGGAAAAAGGGAATTTGCTGAGAAATTATTTAATAGGGAGTGGGAATAAACCTACCCAAATTCTATCAGCAGGTTATATTTTAAGTGCAAATGTGCTGACTTAACCCAAATAGATACATGATTCGGTTACTTTTATTCTATTACACAAAATTGAGGAAAGAGGATTATACCAGAATTTAGTAAGAAGGGTGATAGAACTCTGCAGTAGGATGCCATTGTGGATGTTCTCTTTTTCAGAGCCAAACATGAAAAGCCTATGTTGTGTTAAGCCACATTTAACTCCACACCTCATAACATGTTACAAAGCTGAATGGTAAGGGTATTTGTTTACAAATGACAGAAAATAACTCTTTGATACCTGCATTAACAGACTTCCTTTTGCCTAGAGAAGGAAAATAAAAATGAACCAAAGGATATTTCCAGAAAGGATTAAGAAACCTGTTTAAGAAGGCCATGACTCAGTCTTTAGGTGTGTATACCTTTCAACATTCTAGGAATTTTAATATAAAATAGCAAAATATGTTTTTCCAATTGCAGCCTACTTTAAGGAATTAACTATTGTTCCCTTTTGTCACAGTTAAAATCAAGTGTTGGGAATTAAATTATAATTTGAGTAAAAATACTACCCAATACGAACGAATGTAGATGGCTAAACGATTCTTACTCAGTGTGTTGTATATTGCAACAGGGACCCTTGTAAATTGTCATATGCCAATAAAATGTCATAAGTGGTAATAGCCGTTGTTTGTTTACCTGATTTTGAGACTATTTCTGTGTCTGATCTATACAGCTGATTTCTGTGACCTATTTATAGATTTTTGAATACCAACTCCTCTGTTAGTAAAATTACTGGTATGCTATGGCTTTTTTGGGGGGTTGATACATACTTCACAAAACTCAAACCCCATATACTGTTATTTTTTTGTTTTCCCTGGTAATTCCAAGCTGTTATTAGAGAATACAGGAATTCCAGATTTCTAGTCTAGTTCTCCTGTTCTTGTGTTAATACAAGAACTTGCCAGCCATAATATTATGGAGAATCAGCATTACTTCTCTTTTTAAAAACTATAGTAGTCCATTAATAACTAAAAAGAGGTTGGATTTTGTTTTGTTAGACTATAATTTTGTGTAAAATTTGGTGTAATTCTCACCATGACCCTTTTAACAAAGTGGACCATCTGTCAACTTGAAAAAAAAGCATTTTTCACAGACATTTGTGTGCTAAGACCTATAGTATATATTTTGACTAATAATATATTAGGAGGCAATTGGAGAAAAAAAGTTTATTGTCATGGGATTGTATTAGTCTAGACTTAATAGTCTCTGGATAGAGATCCTGATACATCCTTTAACAAAATTTTAGAATGTTATCTGTTACCATATTAGGGTTATCAAATAGTTAAAACCATTATTACATCTGAATGTCAAGGGTTATATTAATGAAGTTTTAAGCCAACAGGATTTGTTATTATTCAGTTTCTTAGAATCTCAGAGATATATGGAAATTTGTTGTATTCCATTGTCTTACTCAAGAGCCTTTGAGATTGTGTAGGTTTATGAGCTGGACTCCTTATATTTCTGAAACATTCAGTAATGATAAGTGTGTGTTGACTATGCAGATGAAGCCAAAGTTCTACATTAAGTCTTCTAGTTCTCTTTATGTTATTATGTCACATCATACTTTAGCCTTTAAAAATGGATCCCATTGGTTAAAAAAAGAGACACAGACATTAGGATCTGTGTTTCCCACTACTAGAAAAAAACTTCAAATAATGTTTCTTAATTATAATCTCTGCGTAAGAAAAATATTCCCCCTGCCGCCCAAAAATATTTTTCCTACAGATATTTTGGATGATTTAAAACAGTTGAACCTATTGGCAGCACTCTTAAGATGCAGAAGATAATCTTGATTCTTACAAGTAGAAAAGGATTGGGCAAGTGGATTTTAATGCTACTCTCCTAAAAATCAAAATGAGATTTTTCATAGTAATCTCTTGGGGTTGCCCACCTTCCTGATGCAGTAATGAGTACTCCTTTTAGTAAAACTAGATGATAATTAAGTACACCTTCATATTAAATGACTTGGAAGGATTTTTACTCACAGCATGACCTGTGTATTTGGCAGTGATAACTTCTTGGTACTATCATTGTAATTGCGAATTTCATGGAGTGCATAAAGCCATGGAAAAAGAATACCATTTTCATCCTCCAGAATAGTTGTATACTTGCTACCTTATCTAGCCCTTGACTATGGAAGGTCGTAATTTTTCTGCCTTAATGTACCAGAAAGAGAAAGCAATAAACTTTTTATTAGGGTACTTCTAAAGCTGCCATGGGGGGAATGTTAAGTACTCTTTCAGTTTTTTGAAGGAAATTGAATATCACACCAAATGTAAGCATGAAAAGAAAGTTACAATAAAATATAAAATTTAACTGGTTAATGTCAGTATATATAGTGTGTGCATACATTTGGTGGTGATACTTCTACTTCAAAATCAGAGTGTTGATCTGCTTTTCACCCCTCTAATACTGTGGTAAAGATACCCCCACTGCTGCAGTAGACTCCTGACTTGGACTTAAATTTCATCCTTTAGTTGCCGCCTGTGGGATATTTTTCAGCCGTAAACTTGGTGTCATTTTTAGCTAAAACCCTTCGATGTCTTCTCTTGCCTAAATATTAGTCAAGATGAACAACATGAGCCAGTTTTTACCTTTGTGCTTTCCCCACTTACCCACCCCTTGTTCACTTACCTATCTTAAAATCTTACACCCTAGCAAAAATTCTAAATTCTTTTTATGTCCTCATTGAATGTAGCACATTCTTTCAGCTAGCAACTCATTCCATTTAAATGTCTTTCTTTGCCAGAATAAATGTTTATCAATTTGCATTGTGTATGGCATACATACATAGGTATGAAATAAATGCTCCTTGAATGTATAATGAAAGCATGATATAATTGTATATGTATAGAGGTTTGATTTAGCATAAGCCTTTTTTTTTTTTTTTTTTTTTTTTTTTTTTTTTTTGTGGCTGCTGCTAAAACATAATACAGTCTAAGCTCCCTTAAAATGTGCTGAAGAGACGTCGGTTTGCAGTGAACAGAAGAGTTAGATCATTAATTTTTTTTTTATATGTGGCTCATGTTACTCTTGTGCAGTTCCATGTTTTTAAGAGTAAATATATTTAAAAG